GTTTTATTTAAGAAAGGACTTGTGTCGCTAAAGTTTCATCGAAACGAATTTACGGAAAATTAACTAACGAATGGAGACGTAACAGTATTATAACTCAGATATAAAGAGCTATATAGGCTAAAATAAATTGATTTTTGATCACTGAGTCAGTGAGCTTAGTCATTAAAGTAACGAATTATTCTGAAAACGAATCTTTTAGTCAGTGAATTAATCTGTAAGTCACTGTGAAACAGTTCTTTATTTTAATTTTGTAAATCTGAGTTTGTGTTTGCGACGCAGAATGTTGGTTCAATATAGTGCTGTAGTGTATATAAGCGGAAATTAGTAAGTAGTTGAAAGTATTGCCTAGGTATGATCTGTGAGTTTAGGCCTGTCAGTGAACATTAATAAGTATAACTTTTAGAGCTTGAAGTTATAGAAATTAAGCATTTTTCTTATCATTAAGTGGACTGGACGTTGGATTTATTTATTTAATAATCATAACAAACCTACCCAACAGTAGAAACTGTGACAATATCAGTGTCATAGTGGAGTTAATTTGGTAAAAATAAAATAAGATGAAGAAAGATAAAATAATTACTGGAAATGATAAACAGTGAAAAATGACCAAGACGAGAGAGAGAAAATAAATTAAATGAAGACCAAGAAGAAAGAGACGAGAGGATAAAAGGAAATCACATGGACGAGAAGTAAGATTTGCAAATTAATTACTAACAAAAATAATTTTCATTAAAACATCATATCGAGGAAGCCATGAAAAATTGAAGAAGTATCAAAGGACATCAATGAAACAAAAATATGAAGTATGAAACAACTTTAATGCCATAGAAAAGAACGTCAGTGCCAGGATATGGAATAGATGCCATATGGAAATGGAGAATCCATTTGGTATACACCTATTACTACTACTGTTGAAAACTAGTAAATCGTTATAAATTTGTGTTAAAAATCACGTAAATTGCAGATGTTTTTTTTTGTCCGTTCCTCTTAATTTGTACATTTCGGATTCAGAATCAGAGGATGTAAAAATAGTACTTCAGATTCATCTTTTGTTTGATAGAGGTCACTACCCAAGAGGACTTTCGGTCAATACCAGAACTCGTAAGTTGGGCTGTTCTCTCTTTGAAAACATAAAAAGAATATGCCAACAGCATAAAGGTCGAAAGAGCATCCAGAAGCTACAACACAATACGATCGTGAATAGTAAACACCAAACATTCGAAAGATCCATTGGAAATATAAAAAAAATAGTAATTACAACATTCCTTGTTAATATGGACTTCTAACACATTGACGTAATTACAACATTCCTTGTGAATATGGACCTCTAACACATTGAAGTAATTAGAACATTCCTTGTGAATATGGACCTCTAACATATTGAAGTAATTATACCATTCCTTGTGAATACGAACCTCTAACACATTGAAGTAATTACAACATTCCTTGTGAATGTGGATCTCTAACATATTGAAGTAATTATAACATTCCTTGTGAATATGGACCTCTAACACATTGACGTAATTACAACATTCCTTGTGAATAAGGATTTCTAACACATTGACGTAATTACCACATTCCTTGTGAATATGGACCTCTAACATATTGAAGTAATTACAACATTCCTTGTGAATATGGACCTCTAACATATTGAAGTAATTACAGCCTTCCTTGTGAATATGGACCTCTAACACATTGACGTAATTACAACATTCCTTGTGAATATGGACCTCTAACATATTGAAGTAATTACAACATTCCTTGTGAATATGGACGTCTAACATATTGAAGAACCATAAAGACCAACAAAAGTCAGGAGCTCTAGACATACAAGACTAAAATAACGATCTACTTGCAAACAGCCCATCATACCAGGAAAATAAAAACAGCAACAAACAAACATACAATAAATTGAATAATACCAAAATAATGGGATATTAAACACGCAAAAGAAAAATAATGATAAAAATTAAACTTAACAGTTTGCTCAATTCTCTATCAGAGTGCCACAGCCAGTTCTGTGTTAAATTATGTTGAATATCAATTTAAGAATAAAGAAAAAAGATTATTAAAAATTGTTAATTTAAACCTTACGCATGTTTGTTTACTTTTTTTCGGTTGCATTTTCACTTGAAGCTACCTATCTTGTTTCTTTAAATTTTGAAGATCCCTAGTCCCCCTTTTTCCATTAACAGTTTTTAATAATCTTGTTTCTTTAATTTTTATATCCATCGTTGACATAAATCTGTATACTATCAACATTATCCTGTTTGAAGCAGTTTAGTTTGATGAAATACGTAGTTGGTGTATGGTGCTATGTCAGGAAATAATGACAACCTTTGGATTGGTTTCAAGCAGATTGAATGGCTTTTGCTCCTGATATCATTGTCAATGTTACCATTGGTAGCGATGCTGTATGTATGATCACTATGATGCATGATGATCAACATGCAACATGTTATGTACATGCTTTAAAAAAAAATATATATATATATATATTATATTTATACCCTGTAACTATATGGGAAGTCTGTAAACACTGTAATGGAGGGACCACTGAATTACATTGAAATGGAGCATGAACTGGATTTTGTAACCGCATGAGTTTTATACATACATACAATGTATGTTGGCTAGTATATCTATCTATTTCTCCGACTCTCTTCCACTGTGACGACCCTACAATCTGGTGTGTCGTCGCTGCTGCATATTTTATCTGAAATTAAATATTTTCTAAATAAAATATATAGCTACAAAATGTTTGTCCCACTTTCGCCTGGATTCGCCATCTCTTGCTTGCACGATTCTTGCCATTTCTTATTGTCAGCTTCAAGGATGAGTAATGTATCTGCAGTATCTATAAAATTCGCAATCACGTAGTGTTGGCTATAATTTGATACTTAGCATTAGCTATCACAGTGATTGCGATCCGATGCTCGAAACTAAGGTCGGTGCTATTTTTTAAATTACAGCTTAAAGATTTATTTTGTGGGATACAGCCTAGATGTTTGTATAACGTTTTAGACGTTTGTGTAACATGGCGGAAATCGGTCATGCAGTGGTTAAAAAAAGCAAAAATCTGTAATCCTGTAAGCAGCGCGGTTTCCAATAGGGCATGACCCCTATACACAAATAAATGATAAACGACATCAGTACAGTTGCAACAATAGGCTAATAATTGCTATGGTACATGTGTCGTGCCTGCCATATAAACATTAAATTACATTCACGGCCTTCACGCAGTTATATACGTATGTATGCAGTAGATTATGAGACTCCATATAAACCACAGACTACATTAAAACGACTGGATATTAACAGTTATACAGCCGTTGTTATTTGCTAGGTAGTAAAATAAACTTAAAATACCCTACACAATGCATAATGAGTTTAATAATATTGCCCAGGTTTTATTACAATACTCACAGCCATTTTGCTGTAGGCTGGCGGAACGATATTGAATAATAATAGAGAAGAACAAATAGGCGCGATCCCTATTATGAACCACTACCATGATTTATGATAACTGTAAGGAAGCAAGGACTCGCCAATTAAAATCACCAACCAACGTATTAAAGCTAGAGTCAACGTAGCCTTTACATCTATATATTTAACACATGAAAGTTTGAAATAATTCAAATTAACTGCTCACACCATATCATTATGCAAGCGCAATTTTACAAATTTTAGACTGATGGAAAAAACATCTTTTCAAGTAACATGTCTGAACTTGGATTTCAATCGTTTAAACCTGTTAAGCCATACATTCAAACAAACAATACTTACGAAGATTATATAACTTTAAACGATTTCGAACACCTAGTGTAGTTCTACGCAGAATAAAATGGAGAAGGAATCAAAATTTTAAGCTTTTCCTTGTGACTAAACTTTATAAATAAATAAAATAAATCAGGGCATTCTAAAACAGATATGTAATTGCTAAGCTTAAACCTTTAGATATAAATTATCATTTGCTTATGCGTCTTTCAGCAATAAAAAGTATTCAAGTAAAGACGAAAAATAATTTCTTAAGAAAAACTCACACTGTTATTTTTATATAAAATCAATAAGCTCTCTGTTTTTTGTTTTTTTTAGTCATTTTTATAATTTAATTCAAATAAGGTGAAATATCAGTAATTTACAATTTTGTAAATTGTGTATTTTCTTTCCATATATCATCTAGGTTGAAACGAACAATAATAAATTATTTTCAACTAGCGCGCTTTTCTCACATGTACGATAATGTTGTAAATTTTTTGTGGGTTTTGTGTAGTAAGGTTATTGGTGTTTTTCTTTTCTGATTTTATGGAATCAACATTTTTTGTTTATACCATGAACCATACGGCTATAAATATTATTATAGATTTTACTTCGTTGGCTTTGAAAGATTAATAGTAACTTTATTTTCCGATTCTGTTAGTGTTGTGGTAATTGAACTTGATAATTGTCAGTGCTGCTGCTGATTGCAGTATAACTATAAATTAATTTTGTTATTATTAGAATCGTAATCACGTACTGAGGTAGTACCACTAGTAGTACAAATAATAGAGCTACAACATCAACTTTGTATGGTACAAAACGTAGGCCAAGTTTCATGTTTTAATTGCGTGTTTTAGCTGAAGCTATACCGTACAGCCTACGTTGTACGATTGAAGGAGCTTGAACAGTTTTAAATTTAAGCTCGGAACTAAAATATACGTAATAGTTTATCATGGCATCAAAGGTAAGCAAAGATATATTTTATTATTTTTTGTACTTGGAAAAATGTTTCACTTATAATATGTTGGGTTTCTGTTGTTAGATACTTATTAATTTAATTTTTTGGTGTTTATTTTTATTTAACTATGTTGAAAGCCTGAAATCTGTTTGTTGTTTCTTTTTTTGGGGGGGGGGGGTATATTTGCTTCTTACATACTGGATAATGTTAGAGGTTAATTCTTTCAGAATTTCCCCCAAATTTTCTCTGCACAGAATCTGTTTAAATGTGTATTACATGATTTATTATATGTATAAAAATGACTTTTATATTAGTTTACTTTTGCTATCCTTCAGAAGTTGGGATGTGTTTAAAACGTGTTTTAAGGTATTCAGGATGAATAACTGTTAGATACAACTTACAAATCATAAAAAATATACATTGCATAAACAACTGCATGAGGAAATTGATGAAATTAACATGAATTGTGTAACAATTTCCAATTTTTTTCAGTGTTTAATGAATATACTCTGATTTATCTTTTTTTTGTATTTTCATTTCAGAGGTGTTGATGTAAACAGATTTTAAGAAACAGGTTATATGTATTGTTGATATAAACTGATTTTATCAAATAAGAACTAGCAGGTTATATGACTTAGATGTTCCAGTATAAGTAACATAACCAAAGGTAACAAGAACAAAATAACATGCAATATAACATATAAGTGTTTCAGCACATTACTAGTGGTATAATTCTAAATGTGATAATATATTCAGGTGATCCAGTGTGTTAGGAAACTATATACAAATCAACTACAAAGCTATATAGAATTTTGTTTGTTTGTTCTTGTTTAATACACGAGAGTAAAGTATATCTAAGGTTACCGATATTATGGCTAACAAGGACAGGGTTTAATATGTTATATTAAACTATTTTGAGTGCAAATCAACAAGTCATATCACAATCACAGCTGATATGAAGCTGCAGTGGAACTGCCTGTTCTAGAACTACATTTTAACGTTGTTATGACACTTAATATTGATTAGTTTTTGAAAAAGGCATCTAACAGCCCTTTGGTATGAAATATTGATATACTCTGTTCTGATTGGAGATTTAGAAGTTCCAAGATAGAGAAATCCCTTGTACTTACTGGCATTAGAAAACAAAGGAATCTAAATCATCAACTTGGGAAACCAGGACCATCTATAAGCAAAGCGTGGTGTACTGTAGCAATAGAGAATTCACAAACACAAATGTCAGTAGCAAAGGCATCCAAGTGTTATAGGTAACAGTACATAACATAATCAAGAAATATCTCCATCTGGAAACAAGGCCAACAGAGTATGGCCAAGATAAGGCTTCCAGTCATACCTCCAATTCAAATTTCACATACCTCAAGTTGCTGGAGAATGAAATATATATTCATGCTGTTCCATATGGAGACATACTGGTGAAGTTGCTGAAACACAGCAACTATCGATTTTTGTGCTATCAGGTTGTCATCCATGTACACTAGATGGCTTATGGAAAGCACATGGAAAGATATTGTGCTTTGTACATGACAGCCTCAAAGCAGACTCTTTTTGCAGTGGGAAGTATACTGTTGGACTATTATCAAGGTGCATGGTTGTCAGATAAGCTGCAGTGTTTCCGATACTTGCTTGTACCGGTCCACAATGTGTTGAAAACACTGACACGTTTCTTTCAATATTTGATGAATAAAAGTCAGCTAAGTCTACCTTTTCTTTTTCGTTTTTGAAATAAATTGTTTTTTTTTGTAATTATTGTATTATTTTACTTATGTAATTAACAGATATTTTATTTGGAATGTCTGTCTCCGAGAATGTTTTTGGGATTTTACTTGTCCATGATTACCAAAAGTCTGGGAACCACCGAGATAGGGCACGACTGGCTGTGGTGCTTACACTGTAATGACGTGACAAGGCTCCAAAATAGTTTGATATAACAAGCTCAATTCTCTAATAATTATTGTTTTTTTTGTATTGAACCTGTTAATAAGTGAGAAGTGTGTTCTTGCTGGTGTTTAACATTTGTTTTATTACTATTATTTGATATCATTAAGAGAGAGGCAAGTTAATGTGCTTTTGCTACCAATAATAAGTTGTAGACGTGCAGTCATATTTTGTTATTGTATTTATATTTTGTCATTGAGAGCTAATGTTTCCCATATTAGGATATAAGAAGTTTTTTTGTCCCACGCTATGGATCCAAACAGCCACCCCAGTCAACAAAAAGTGAAAATAAGCTGGCAAAAAAATGTGATGCATCGCAAGAGGCCAAGTTTAAAAAACAAAAGGTGAGAAACCTAATCAGTCAATTATAGGATAGTCTGATTCATTGTTAAAAAAATGTAGTTGATAAAAGTAGAAAAGTTAACAGGGAAGAGGAAATGTTAAAACATTGCAAAAAAAATAGCTGATTTCAATGGCTTACTGCTGACTAAGTAATGCACTTTGAATTTTAGAAGCCTATATTTGGACTTAAAAACATATATTGCTTTATACATACTAACTACACTATTTAAAAACATACACGTGTCATAACAGTTTTAAAAAACGTTCATGGTTTAGCTTGCTATCAGATTCCATGATCTTGACAGAACTGTTAATTTTCAGTCTTCTCAAAATTTATTTTAGGGACTTCAATGTTGAAAACAGAAAAATCATAAATAAGGGAAGTAAAGGTCAGCTTTTGAAAATATGTTGATTACCATTATATTTAAGTAAAACTTCCATTTAGGAACTTATCGCGGATTTTTATTCATGGAAATATATATATATATATATATGTATATATATATACACATATGCGTTTAATGTCAACATTGCCATTAGTCTCATAAAATTTGGTATTATCATATATCGTGCTTTACTGGATGTTATACATTTCAAACTGGATGTTACAAGAAGCTCTGGATTACAACATCAGTTGTTTGCTATGTGTTGTAACACACTCTGACTTTTACAACTTAGCCGAATGTGGACGGGGTTAGTTCATTTACCAATCCTGTATTGGAGAAAGAATGTTTACTATAATTCTGAATTTACTTTTAGTCAAATGTACAACTCTGTTGTACAACAAAAAATCCAAGACGTATTTGTACTTAAGATTTGTCCGCAAGTTCTCAACATCAGTCTAATTCAGACACAGAATGCAAGTTGATGTATATATGAAGAATAAAGATACTCTATTGTACAGTTTGTATATTGTATTTGCATAACCTCTAGAACTTCTGAAATGCATATCTACTGTTGTTTTTTTCACTATTGCTGTATATTATATCTGGTATTTACTCTCATCGACCATGAACTGTTGATAAATGACCTATGTAGGGTAAAATTAACAATTCATAACTCTGACATCAAATACATAATACAATGTTGAATGGCACTCTGTAGAAGGTCATGGCTTGTGCACTTTGACCCCCTTCCATGCACAAAGGCTTGTTGTGTAACTTGTAGTTTCATTTTCTTTTATTTGGGGGGTTCATATGGCCACACTGTATCATTAGTTTAATTATTCACGTAATGTGGAGATGATGTACATTTTAAAACAGTTAATTAAACCGTTGAACTTTTAAGTTTTGAATTAATAATAATCTGTTACTTGGACAGCTGAAATACTTGAAAACAATAATAATTAGAAACACTAATTTTGATTAATTTGTGACAATTGATTTGATCATAATTCTAATTGATAAATTAGTTTACATGACACTAATTGATGTTCATAGGTAGTCGAGTTGATTGTTCAGTTCTAATTCCCAGAAATGCCATTTTGAAATATTAACAAGGATTATTACTGCTACGGTGGAAATATTTGCCTGTTTAAATTACTTACATTTGATGTCTGGTAAATGATATATAGTATGTGAAATGTTTTAAAAGTGTGTTAACTGAAAGGCAGGATCAGATACACATGTACTAGATGAGGATGTACGAGTTGAATGTATTGTAGAACAGTTAACGTATTTACAAATTGGCCAGGGTAGAAATATTTGCCTTAACTTCGTGATCTATTTAGATGACATACATTTGTTGGCTTATGTTGTCACTTTGTTTCTTTGTCTTCAAACTAGTGCCCTGAATTATAAACAAACTCTGCTATTTTTGTTTCTCAGATAATTTCATTTAGTTCAGCTTTTGTTATTAGCCTTTATTTTTGTATTCATTTCTGGAATCATACCAACATTGATTACGGAACATAAAACTTTTTGTAGTCTTATTCTTTACACAAAAGCTTAGCTAATGAAAATTTTGGATGTTAAAAAGGATCTAGTAAGTTAAATAGAAAGCAACTTTTCATGAGACGAAATTCTTGGTGGCAGTGTTTACACTTGATTGTTCAGCATGCAGAGAAAACTACATGTGTTTCCTGAGGTTTAGCACCAATAGTGTGAGTGTGAAACCTACTTTTAAAAAAAAGTATTTTGCCCTACCAATATGTTTGTACCTGTTTTCAAAACTGTTCCAATGACTGAATGCCATGTTAGGAATTTTGACTCTTCTAGTCAACCCATTTCAATTAGGAATGTTTTCTTCATTTTAGTACTAGCTGTGTGTTTTTCTCAGAATTATTGTTGGCTTAGATAGTAGGCTATCATTTTGGCCATTTAGGAGAATCATCTTATTACTCCTAAAGCAGTGACTTGGTAAACAGCTGATGAAAGCTAGGGAGTAATTTGGTTTTATGATTTATTTAATGCTAAAAAACAAAGTTTCATCATGCAGAATCTTTTAAAATTCTACATTCATAAAAATATATTAAGCTTTTGTGACATTTACCGTCTATATTACCAACATTAATCAATAATTTATATTTACTCATGATTTTACAGAATGTGACAAGCAGTATTTACTCTTGATTTTACAGAATGTTACAAGGCAGTATTTACTCTTGATCTTACAGAATGTTACAAGGCAATATTTACTCTTGATTTTACAGAATGTTACAAGGCAGTATTTACTCTTGATTTTACAGAATGTTACAAGGCAATATTTACTCTTGATTTTACAGAATGTTACCGAGAATAAATATTGCCTTGTAACATTCTGCAAAATCATGAGTAAATACTGCCTTGTAACATTCTGTAAGATCGAGAGTAAATATTTCCTTGTAACATTCTGTAAAATCAAGAGTAAATACTGCCTTGTAACAATCTGTAAAATCAAGAGTAAATATTTCCTTGTAACATTCTGTAAAATCATGAGTAAATACTGCCTTGTAACATTCTGTAAGATCAAGAGTAAATACTGCCTTGTAACATTCTGTAAAATCAAGAGTAAATACTGCCTTGTAACAATCTGTAATATCAAGAGTAAATATTACCTTGTAACAATCTGTAAAATCAAGAGTAAATATTTCCATAATCTTACAGAATGTTACAAGGCAGTATTTACTCATGATCTTACAGAATGTTACAAGGTAGTATTTACTCTTGATTTTACAGACTTTAAATAACACAGAATGGTAGCTTCATTTATGAAAATTTGAATTTGTGTTCTCATTTAATTTGTTTTTTTAACTGATATATAAATTGTTTGCCATATGTAACGGTTCAAGTGTTTGATGACCCGATCATTAACATGTGTGGGTAAACTTGTGTGTATGAATGAAGAGTGTATGAATGAATTATATTGCAATAAGTATATATTTTTATTTCAGGAAAATGGATGTAACAAGAAAAAGAAGAGAGCTTGTATTATTGAATCAGGTAACCAAGAAAGTTGATAGCCTCTGGTGGCATGAAACTTAACCAAATATTCTTTTTAATTATAAAATATCATTGAGAGTAGGTTTTAAAGATTTTTGTTTTGAAGTATTGTGTTTTTTCTTGCACATAACAACACTGTCCCAAGGAGGAACTATTATCTAAGATAAACTGACAAAGTAGTATAACCTTGCATTACTTGAAGACTTGCTCCATTTGTTGGACTTGTACTCTTGGAGAGTAAAAACACTATAACATAAAGACTTCTTTTTTAGCTCTTTTTCAATGGTTTGTTTTGTTCTTGAATTTATTTTTAAACTTGCTTACAGGAAAGGCTAAAAATGTATCGTGACTTTGTGGTATTATCAAGATATCTATTAAGTTTTTATTTTTATTTGGTGGTATCACTGGGAGTTAGAAAAGTCATTTTTTGTTGATCTTTCTTCTGTACGAAAAACAAAAATTTTAAATTTTCCATTGTATTACTAGATTCAGACGAAGATCCATTGCCTATAAAATTATCAAAACATGAAAAGAAACGTGATCAAGAGAAAGTTGATGAAATGGAGACTGTTAATTCAGGTGAGCTTGTAATTTAAATGAGATGATTACTGAAAACGAAAGATTAAATATGGAGCTCCCAAAACTTGTGGAAGATTATTAATAAATATGGAGCTCCCAAAACTTGTGGAAGATTATTAATTTGCTTTTCTAATATTATTTACAACTTTCGTTAGTACATGTGTCATTGTTCTCGTTAAAAATGTGTTTGTACTTAAGTTTTTATCTACATTCAGGGCCTTTTATATCTGTTAACTTTTCCATATATTTTTAATTTGAGTTTGTTTTTTAGGGTAAATTCTAGGTTTGCATTTGAGTTTATGCATTACATTGAATTGTCTTTTTGAATTGATATGAGATTGTACTCTCACTCTACACAAAGATCTATTCATGTATATTAGATTCCAGTAGTAAACATCTGAAAGAAACCCGTCCAACTAATTCAAAAACAAACAGAACTTCACAAAAACAAGACCCGTCTAAGCTGAAACCCATCTCAGTGGATGATTTTTTCGGTGATGTTCCAGTGAAGCGTTCGCCGAAGAAATACATTTCTTCAAAGCCAAAAGTGGTATGTTTAATCATGATACAAGGACTAGTGTTGATAAAAGTATTGTAACTTAAAACTTACTTAGTTAAAGTTGTGTTAAAATTAAACGTAAGTTAAACACAGTGAAATGAGATGCTTACGAAGGTGATTCCATATCAGGAAGCTAGTAAATCCCAAACATCCTCCTTTTGTTGAATTTAAAAAAAAAACAGCCTATTATTGAATCTTTGTTGACTTGTATCAAAGTATACAAAATTTATTGTTTTATTTCAACTAGGAATATTCTGTTGAACAGAAGGAACCATCAAAAGAAATACATGATGATGAAGATTTTAAGTGTACGCTGAAGCAGTTAGATGAAGAGAAGCTTGATAAACAGGTACGAAAATGATTTATCATCTCTTTTACAAATGTCTAAAAAGTTCATTAAATATTTCTGTAATAAAAAAAATAAAATATATAGTAGTTCCCATAATGTTTATTATTGTAAGTTATTTAATGTTTAATGGATAGTTTGTTTTGTTAGTGTAATGTTAAAGAGCCATCAAGAAGAATAAGTCCCAGAAAAATAGAAAAATCAGAGGCCAACAAAACTTCTCCAAACAAAGACCCATCAAGAAGAGCAAGTCCTAGAAAAATAGAAAAACCAGAGGCCAACAAAACCTCTCCAAACAAAGACCCATCAAGAAGAGCAAGTCCCAGAAAAATAGAAAAACCAGAGGCCAACAAAACCTCTTCAAGTAATTGCCTATAAAATATATTAAAACATAACAATGGTATTTTAAATATCTCCTCAATAGATCATCAGAACTTTACAATACTATACAGTGTTTCCTTTTATAACAATATCTATGTAATGACTGAGTCACAAGTTCTGGGAATGTCTGTAAATATCACAGCAAAAAGATTGAATTTCTTGTTCTTCTTTCTTCTGCTTCATTTTTATTACATGATAACTCATAAACCAAAACAGTGGTGTCAACCAATTTCACTTAAGTAACATCGTTTACACTAAAAATTATGATTTTTTTAAAATTACTACTGGTTAATAATACTTATAAAAGCAGGTACTCTGTTTGAAACTATGTCATCATTACCCCTTAAAGTTAGCTTTTTTACAGAAATGTGGTGTTCCTTAAATAAGCTTAAGTACAGGGTGAAACAGGAATTGCCAGCCAATAATAGATAAACAATAAATATTACAGGTGGAACCTCATTGTATTTAGAACTTGGTTATAAATACAACCTTCCTATGTCTATTGAAACACTGTATTAAAAACAAGCAAAGAATTAACATATAGTAATATATGTATATATATAACTATTCAATCACAGTTGAGTTTAATTTATCCATTTTTGTTTGTCAACATTCCACTACATTACGTGCCTGTCTTGTTATGTAGAGATGATATAAATGTCATCCCTACATCTACTGTATTTTTCTTTACTTTACTATGATATATTATAGTACACTATCCTACAAAGTAATGTACTACAAGCAGTATGGATGTAGTACAGAAGTATAGTGTACTAGATTAGATGTACTTCACTAGGCTTCCCGAAAGTGTTCTGTCTCAAGAATAAATAAAACTAAAATTAAGAGTAACGAATAGTTTTATATTTTGGTTTTCAAGTTTATACGTCATGCTGTGTTGTAGCTGACAGAGCACATAATTATTCTCGTGATTCATGGCATGCGCACGTTTTACTGACGTCACAATAGCATAAATTGCAACATTAAGCGTCCCATATGTTACGTCATTTTAGTGTCTACTTACCGAATAACAGACAACACACTACTGTATAATGGTGAAAGTGGTTAAAACAGGTGACCCCTCAAGGCGGCCTTCGGCCCCATTTCCTGTAAATTAAATTATACTTCCCTAACTTACAATGTAGTATGAATATAGTAGAGTATAGACACAAGTGTAGTATACTATATTACACTATACTTCTCTAACTTACAATGCAGTATGAATATAGTACAGTATATATACACAAGTGTAGTATACTATATTACACTATACTTCTCTAACTTACAATGTAGTGTGAATATAGTAGAGTATATACACAAGTGTAGTATACTATATTACACTATACTTCCCTAACTTACAATGTATTATGAATATAGTAGAGTATATACACAAGTGTAGTATACTATATTACACTATACTTCCCTAACTTACAATGTAGTGTGAATATATTAGAGTATATACACAAGTGTAGTATACTATATTACACTATACTTCCCTAACTTACAATGTAGTGTGAATACAGTAGAGTATATACACAAGTGTAGTAAACTATATTACACTATACTTCCCTAATTTACAATGTAGTGTGAATATAGTAGAGTATAGACAAAAGTGTAGGTATAGTGTAATATAGTATAATATATTCATACTACATTGTAAGTTAGGGAATAGAGTATATACACAAGTGTAGTATACTATATTACACTATACTTCCCTAACTTACAATGTAGTATGAATATATTAGAGTATATACACAAGTGTAGTAAACTATATTACACTATACTTTCCTAACTTACAATGTAGTGTACTACAATGTGTAAGTAGATACAACAATGTAGGAAGAGCGCCTATATAACATCATGTTAAATGTTGTTGTTTTTCTTAAGGTATTTGCTATTCTCTGGTTGGATGTTTTTGTCTTTATATTGGACTTTTTGGGGGCCGTCGGCTCCGGGAATATTTTTCCCGGGTTTCCAGCCTTCTCAATGCGTACGTACCTCAGAGTTTGTACTATTACATACTTAGAACCGAATCATTTCGGTATATCTGGCAGATTATTCACACTTCCTTCTGTTACGTCATATTTCCACTCCTTCGTTCGAACACTGCTGCCTCTCTAAGTAATTCTAAGAGCCAAATGAGCGAAAGCAAAGGAGAATATGTTATAATATGTCAATCACACTATGACTGCAATGTCCAATGCGCAATATTATGGCTTGTCAGTCTGGCCGGGGTACAACAGACAATTTATTCGTCTACGTGTTATACATATCATCATTGATCAAGAACACCAACTTTTAGGGTGTTATCATTGTTCAAGAACACCAACTTTTAGGGTGTTATACATATAATCATTGTTCAAGAACACCAACTTTTAGGGTGTTATACATGTCATCATTGTTCAAGAACACAACTTTTAGGGTGTTATACATATCATCATTGTCCAAGAACACCAACTTTTAGGGTGTTATCATTGTTCAAGAACACCAACTTTTAGGGTGTTATACATATAATCATTGTTCAAGAACACCAACTTTTAGGGTGTTATCATTGTTCAAGAACACCAACTTTTAGGGTGTTATACATATCATCACTGTTCCAGAACACCAACTTTTAGGTGTTATACATATCATCGTTGTTCAAGAACACCAACTTTTAGGGTGTTCTACATATC